CCCCAAAACCCCAAAACCCCAAAACCCCAAAACCCCTTCAGTAGAAAATAAATCAAGAATTAGAATAGTTTAATTCATGAGAGATAAAAGACAAGTGTAAAATAAACTAGCTAAAAATGATAATGCTTCATTAAAGGTCAAAGAATCAAAAGATTTAAGAGATCTAATTGATAATCTTGTCCCTTCTCATTCAATGCAGAAGTATTTGATAATTCTTCTCGTAATTATGTTCAGAGCTAGTCTTTCTTTAACTCCTTATTCTGGGGAAGATGGTGCTCCTAAGTATGGCGATTTTGAATGTCATAGAACATGGATGGAAGTTACCTATAATCTTCCGATCTCGTAATGGTATAATGATACCCCATATTCTAACTCTTCATATTGGCCAATCGATTACCCTCCTCTCTGTGCATATACTCATCTTGGAATGGCAAGTATCATCTCATTATTCTAGCCATAGGCGATCTAATTAGGGCTATCAAAGGGTTATGACAAGGGATAGTATAGAGCATTAATGGGCTTTTTCATTATGATATTTGAACTATTGGTTTTCATTCCTGCTCTTGAGAAAGTTCTTGACTTTTATTATTCTGATAAATCTAAGACCACTAGAAATCTCTATCTTCTAGCTAATCTATGCATTACTCCAATATTCTATATCGATCATGGCCATTTCTAACCTAACTCTGTTATGCATGGATTGGTATTATGGGCAATCTATTATATGTTTCAAAGTAAGATTGAGAAAGCTGTAATTTTTATGGTTTTGGCAGTAAACTTTAAGCAAATGGCTCTATACTATGGTCTTCCTTTCGGTGTTTATGCACTAATGCTTTTGTATAAAGATTCAACTTAGGTATCAAGCAATTTTCTTGGTAGAACAGGTTATATATTCGGAAGAGTAATTATTTTGATAGCTGTATTCATTGGTACGTTTCTTGTAGTATACCTTCCGTTCTTTTAGGCATCAGGATTACCAGGAGTCTAGCAAATATTAATTAGAATATTTCCAGTAAAGAGAGGCTTATTTGAGAATAATGTAGCCTCTTTCTGGTGTGTCTTACACAACTTCTACAAGGTTAAATTCATTTACGACCAACCAGCTTAAATTAAGATTGCGGCAGTTGCTACTATTTTAGGCTGTATACCTTCAGTCATCTATTTGATGAGAACTCCGAATAACAAGTAGTTCCTGTTTGCGCTGTTCAATGTTTCTATGTCATTTTTCATGTTTAGTTTTCATGTACACGAAAAGTAGATATTGCTGCCTCTTTTGATATTTGGACTCTTAATTCATGATTTCAGACATTATTTTACCTTCACAGTCACTGTAGGAAATTTCAGTCTTGCTAAGCTTTATCTTATGGATCATAACTAAATCAGCTATTTCCCAATGACTTTTGGTTTCTTCTATATCGGAAAAATGTTTGACTCCTTCATGATAAATAACTTCAAAGTACCTGCAAAAGAAATAAATATATTATTATATGATGATGAGTTTTAAATATAAAACGATAATAAGGATTAAAAATAAATATGGATTAGTTGGCTTATATTAAGACTTAGAAACACACTATGCAGCTTAGGAGTATTGTTCATGATTGGGTTTCATATTTGCAAGACTTTGTTCCCACCTTCTGAGAAATTATTTGATCTTTACTGGGCTATTAATAATGCCTTTTCCTTTGCAACTTTTGCGCTAGTTTTAGTATATTCGCACAGTCTTATGCATGAAAATAAAAATAATTGATTTAGGAGTGTTTTAACAAATAATTACTGATAAATCTTAAAATTTAAAATTTGAAAAAATTCCGCTCACGGGTGGGTTCGAACCACCGACCTTTCGGTTAACAGCCGAGCGCTCTACCAACTGAGCTACGCGAGCAGTACATGATCTAAAGAATTGTATAACTTTAAATAAGACTCTGATCTTCCTTCTTCAAACGAATCATCTCCTGAACTTTCAAGCAATGTCTGTCGTGATTAATATTTTCTCATTAATTGTCTTTCTTTCAATTTTATTTACAGTCAGGTTTGGGGTTTTGGGGTTTTGGGGTTTTGGGGTTTTGGGGTTTTGGGG